CGGATCTCTCTCCCATAGTGTCTGGTTGTCTGTGAGGGATTACTCTGTGTCTGTCTTCTATTATTTCTATAAGGACTGCAGGTATTTTGTATCACTGGTGTCTGTCCAAGATTAGCCTCAGCTGAATCTGTCCTTGGTCTAGCGTATACTGACCCCCGTCTGATTACCTCTGGTGTTTATGTGTTTATCTGTATAGCCCAGTGTTTGGTGTCAATGGCAATGCAGGATTGTGGACATGTTGGTTGGTATTAGCATCTGTCATCTATGTCTCATGTGCACTATTTGGTGTCCTCCCATTTCCTAATGTTATCATGGTGGTCATAAATCCTTCCTGTATATCCTTCCCCCTACCCATGTCAGCGTGTAGGCCCTAACTAGCCTGAAATTAATCCCTCCCATTCTCTCCCCATCCCTGTAACCTACTAGGTGGGTTCCCTTTCCCAAGCAAACCCTTCTCTGTCTTTTTACAGTAATGGGCTCATACAGTACTTGTCCTTCTGCGATTGACTTATTTCACTCAGCATAATGTCCTCCAGGTTCATCCACGTTGCGAGATGATTTGCATATCCCTCATTGTTCTTTAATATGGCATAATATTCCATTGTGTGGATATACCATAATTTGGTTATCCACTCATCCGTTGATGGGGATTTAGGTTGTTTCCATCTTTTGCTATGGTGAATTGTGCTGTGATGTATACAGGTGTGTATATGTCTATTTGTGCTCTATCTCTCACCTCTTTAGGATATATTCCTAGTAATGGAATTACTGGGTCAAATGGTACTTCTATTTTCAGTTTTTAAGGAAACACCATACCGTTTGCGACAATGGTTGTACCACTTCACAATCCCACCAGCAGTGCACAAGAGTTTCAATCTCTCCACAACCTTGCCAGCATTTGTTATTTTCTGATCTGTTGAACTTTGCTATTATTGCTGGGGTGAGATGATATCTCGTTGTTTTGATTTGCATCTCTCTAATGATTAATGATCGTGAGCAATTTCTCTTGCGTTTGTTGGCTGCCTCTATATCTTCTTTGGTGAAGTGTCTGTTCAAGTTTTTT